CAGGGAGGAGGCGAACCCCCTGACGAGTCTGATCGGAAGGGATGAAAGGGGACGGTTACTTGAGGGAAAAGCAGGGCTCCGTGTTCTCAGCTGTGAAACAAACCAAGTGGAAACGTGAGGAGCAGAATCTCCCTCTGCCGTTTTAATTAGTTGCTATTCGATATTTCAGACCCACAATATGCTAAGGGAAGCTTTGGTTTCATGTTCTAATCCGTTTGCCTTTTTATTTTCCATTTCACGTACTATTCCCATAATTTCATTCTCACGTGAGAAAGCTGGAAATTGGAAATTTCCTGGAGCATTCAGAGGCTGAGCTCAACTGAGGTCATCTCTCCATCAATCACATTCTGACACGGCTTCCCTGGTTCTAGAGGTTATTTTTTTAAGACATGAAATTGGAGACTGGTCCCTAAAAACACTTTAAACTTTCAATATCACCCTACAGTTGTGTAGTAGTTTTTTAGTTTCCAATGTATTTTTATAGCCATTGTTTCATCTCATCCTTACAAGGACCCTAAGAGGGAGGAAAAGTAGATAAGCTTATCCCCATGTTATAGACCAAAACAACAGGCAGCAAACAAACAAAACTGGAAGCCCTCCAACGTGCCAAAGGTCATCCTCTTTCCCATTTCTCTACTCTTGCAATCAAATTATCAGTGGCAATGATGGCTTGATTCCTGACTTGCTAAAGACATAATTAGATCCCATTCAGATCTATTTCAATCACAGGTGAGTGAGAGAGAGAGTGCATTTTGACTTTTGCCTACATCAGTCCATTACTGGATGCAGCAGCAATTTTCACTAATACTGGGGTTCTAAACCTTGTGTGCTCAACAGAATCACCTGGGGGCACTTTTTAAAAAGGAAGATGCCTAGGCCTTTCCCAAAACAAGTTAAATTGGACTCTCAAAGACTGGATGCTGGACATTGTTATTTATAAAAGTTTCCTGCTGATTCTAATATGCAACCAGGCTGAGAACCGCTATAGGTAGTAAGTCAATGATGTAACGAAAATCAAATTAATAAGGGGGTCCTTTCTCTTTGGGGATGTTTATAGTGGAACTACCACCCACCTAGTTAGCAGGTACAGAATGTCTCTAATCCTCTGGCAAGTCTGATGGACTCTCCCTTCCATCTGACCGCTTCTCAGCAGTTTGAGCTGCCCCCCTCTCTTCCCCGGATGCTGCACCAGCCCCCCATTCCTCTCCTTGTTTCCACTCAGGGCCCCATGCTGGGGTCTTTGCACAGCTGTCAGAGCTCTGTTAAAACTCACTGTCACAACCAGGCTCAAAGCCCTGTGGTCCTTTCCCACCCCAGCCATACCTCACCTGGGCCCTGCCGACCTTTTCACACTCTGTCCTTCTCTCCCTCTGTTCCAGCCTTACACTGCTGTTCCCTCTCCCCAGATCTCTGCACGACTGGCTCACCAGTCACCTCCTTCAGGTCACTGTTGACATATGACCTCCACAAGGAGCCCTCTCCTGACCACCCCGTCCACAAGCACCCCACCTCTGACCCTTTACCCTTGGCCTTCGGTATTTTTCCTCAGGCACTTAGCACCACCTATAGTCATATTATTTATCTGTTTCCACGTTCCCCTCTTGCAGTTTGGTGGAAGCACCATAAGGGCAGAGATGAGGCTCCAGCACTAAGAACAGTGCCTAGTGCACAACAGGCACTTAATCAATATTTGTGAATGAACGATTAACTCCTGGGAACTTGTTACTGCCTTCCATCCCCGAGGGCTTTGAAACAAGCGCAGTGGGCAGTGGGGCAAGTGATCAGTTCAGCCCGCCGGACACAGGAGTGGCCTTGTGCACTGGCCTGGTAGGATAAGGGTCCACGGCTGGTTTGGGGAGGTACTTGAGGGGGTACAGATCAGAACACGGTGTCCTGGGGCAGGGGGGCAGGGAGGGGCTGTTAATGGCAAGAGAGTCGGGACCACACAGAGATGTGCTTTTTCTGCCAAGCCTAGAGTTTTCCTTTGTGCTGTGGACATGAGGTCCACCTCTGAAGGCTTCAAGCAGGACTGGGATGAGTTACATCTTCATTTTCGGAAAAACATTATGGCAAGCTATCTGGAGGGAAACCAGAGGGGACCTGACTTAGAGTTTCAGATCCCTTCTCTACGTTATTGCTTCAGTCCCCAGGGTCTTGTGGCATTCCCAACTAGAAACCATGTGTTTACACTCTCAGGTCCCATTTACCGGACTTCTGATGGCCCTCCAGATAGAAAGGATGTTTAAGAGTTAGGTGTTTCTGTACATATAAAGAATGTCGTTCATTATTGTGAATACTGCATGAGTTACCTCTGTGAAGAATAATTACATGAATTCATGTTACGGGTTGGTAAGTCACATAAAATCAGAATGTTTAACTATCAGAGAAAGAGGGCTACAGTCTATCATCTTCTCTCAATGAGTGTCTCGTTTCTATAGGCTGCTACTTCTACAGTGACATCACATGGACCCACTGAAGCCCACCCTGTGCTGGGCCCTGCCGCTCCTGCATCATCCCAAGACCATCTCATCTCCCCCACTCCAGACACACCAGGCTCCTCCCTGCTCCTTGCACATCAGCCTTGCACACACTTGCTCTGCAGAAGTCGGACTCTTTTAAACTTATTGAAAAAGTTTAATAGCTTATCATCTTCTTAGAAAGGTCTTCCCTGGAAACCTATCGAAATATATCCCCCCTGTTGGTCCCTGTAATGTGTTTTTTCTTTCTTAACACTATCATAATCTGAATTTGTTTTGTTTACATTTCCCTCATTAGAATGTAAGTTGCACAGGGGCAGAAAGCTCGTCTGCCTTCTTTGTGAACTGTATACCTGCACCTGGTCCACAATAGGTGCTCAGTTAAAAACTGGCTGAATAGAAAGAAACAGGGGAGCAAGAATGCAAATCTAAAAGTCTATACTCTAAGACACGGCAGGCACAATTGTGCAACAAAAATATTCATTAATGTGAGTATGTCTTGTATACTTGAAGATACACTCTGATGATGCAGTTTAAAATGAAAATGTTCGCTGTTATGTTTGATAACAAGGAAAGACACACGTCACTAGCGAGAATCCCTATTCTCACAACAGGTACACACATCCCGTAGAGAATTCCAGCAAACAGGTACATGTATACACATTAACAGACATTTACATGCACCCCTTTTCATGCAGGGTCTTGGTTAACCACCACATATGGACACATATTGTAATTACAAAGCCATAATGCTGATTCCATGAACCATATGTTGAGATGAGCCCCACGGCATTACAACAAAATACCGTTCCCCAAATCCCCTAGGTCCTTATTCCCTTAAATCATGTCAGTAACCTGGAGTAATTTTAGTACAGTGGGTATGTACCTGCTACCTCCATGGTTCTAATCCTAGAGGTCGAATCCCAGAGGAGCTGGGACAGCTATCAAACAATAATGGTTTTTCCTAGTTTTCTATAAAGATGGTGCTGCTGGTGGCCGACCGTCCTCAGGTTGTGAGGTTGGCCAGCGGCAGATGTGCCGATTCCTCCTCCGTCACACCTCATGATGTCTGCAAGATGGTTGGCTGGCAAGAAAGATGAAGCTGGAGGTCAGAAACCAGAGCCGACCTGAGCTGGTCCATTCCAGGTGCACGCAGCCAGCCTTACCAGCTGGTGCCCTGACATCCCCAGGGAGGGCTGCCAGATGAAATACAGCACACCAGGTAAACCTGGATTTCAGATAAATGACGAGGAATTTTTTGGTATAAGTATGTCCCCAAATATCGCATGGGATATACTTACACAAAAAAATTCATTGTTTATCTCAAGTCCAAGTGTAAGGGTGCATGCTGTACTTTTATTTGCTAAATAACAGCTTCTATCACCCAAGAAACTTTAGATTATTCTATATTTTTCTATTATTAATTAGTGCCTATAAATATTTTAAAGACAGACTTTCTTTATAAAATACTATACTTCTCTTTTACTGCACCTATCAAATCATTTCTGATTTTGCTGATTAATGGCATGACAAAATGTTTTTTAATGTCTTAAGTTTTTCTTCCAGGAAACATCATCAATACTACCATGATTGACTTGTATTTTGTATATTCAATTTGCAACAGTCTCCATGAAACCATAATATTCAAAAAGTGCAGATTTGGCATTCAGATCCTTTAACCAAACCTCCAGTCTTTCCAAATGCTCCCTTTCAACTGAAAGCCTCTCTAGAAAATAAATGAATGATGTAAATCATATTATCATTACCCACATAAAGGTGGCCCACTGCAGCCCTTCCAGAAAGCTACAGAGGATTTTCATGATCTCAACTGCTCTTTAAAAAAAATCTGTTTTCTATCAGAAAAAATAATCTAAAAATAGTTCCATATAACATAAGGACGAAGCCATCTGTATCTTCTCTCCAAAGAGCTCATATTTCTATAGATTTTTTCACTTTCCAACTGTGCCAACAAGTTCTGAAATTTAAGAAAGTCACGTAGATTTGGCAGATAAAACTCATCAAAATATTAAATTTAATCACTAATGTTTCAATTATTTTATATTATTCTTTTACATCATAGAAGGCTCAAATGAAGCGTGTCAAAGTAAACACAGTATAAAACTGCATTAAAACTCACTACAAATTTTTTTTAAAAGTTGTATTAAAATGTTTCTACCAGTAATCGATTGGTAAAACCAAAATGTTGATGAAATAGACATAAATAGAGAAAATTACCCAATACTCAGTGAAAACAAATACAGAAGTTGTATATCTGGAAATGTCATCCCTGGTGTATATTTGAAAAATGACTTTCAACAGATGCAAATACTGCTGGCCACTCCTCAGAACTGACACATCAAAATTGGTTTGTATTTTATCTTCGGTAAGAATAAAGATTTCACTTTATAAGGATAAAGTTAGCATTAAAATAAAGGCAAACTTGAATAAAAGAATGCAAATGCAGTAAATGTGGTTTTAAAACTTCAGCCACCAGAAAGTCAAGAAAAAAACAAAAATGCTGACCTTTGAGTCGATGCTCTTCGTGGCATCCCAGGGGTCTCCGTTTAAGAGAGAGGCACTGATGACTTCATCAGCTCCTCCCCAGTCCTTCCTTTGGGCCTGTTGCACGGAAGATGCTAACTTGCTTCCCAAGTTCACCCCTGCATCAAAAAACAAAACAAAACAGCCCCATTCTTCACTCTGGTCGGAAGACTTTGGCATCAGAAGCTTGTGACGTAAATGAGTCAGTGAAGATATCTGCAAGTTGACTAAGCCCAGGGAATGCTATAATCTATGAAGTCACAAGTGTTAAAACTGATGAATTCTCTGTCAATCCAACCATAAAATTTTATAACAAAAAAAAACAAAAGCTAATTTTTTCCTTCGAGACCTACAGCATGTGCTGGGTGATTATCACAGTCAAAGTATATAACTCCATCCTTCAACAAGCAACAAAAGCACACAAGCAGTGACTTTTTAAATGATGAATTCATGCTTTGCCTAAGATCAGCTCTCTATTAAAAGTCGCAAGGCTTTAGCTGTATTAAGACTAAATCCATTTACTTAAGTCCCAGCGAATCAGTTAAACACAATGCCAATTCTCCTCTCTCCACTTGCGGAGGCTAATTTTATATGCTTCAGTGAGTGATTCTATAGACAAAATTAATTTGCCAGTTCAGACTGACTAGACTGGTTTACGTAAAAAAAAAAAATTAAGTCATTCAATAAACTATTATATGATCTTGTTTCTTGGGGTCCTGTCTGTCGAACCAGTTAATATACCGACAGAGGTTCAATTTAGCCCATTTCCATAAACAATTCTAATGGAAAGTATAACATTTTTCTCTTCTGGAGAGTGTATCGCTTTCTTAACAAATACGGTAATTTCTCTGGGCTTGCTCTCCTATGAGGTCACGCTTCTGCTATTTGGTGCGACCACAGTATATCCCTCAAGGTAAAGGATGGGAGCAGATTCTCTCACATGTTATTCCCATTTCTTCAACCAGGACTCATAATTTTCAGACCTGAGTCATAATAGCACAGTTTTAAGTTACTAAAGAGTTTGCATTTATTGGGCACAAATGGTATTGAAATTTTAATCCTAGACATTTTACAGTTCCCCAAATACTTTTAAATCCACACCATTTTATCATTCTCGATGTGGAAGTCTGCAGTTATATTCAGGTTACAAAAGGATTACTACTCGAGTATTAACTGTCTGACACAGCCTCTCCAGAAAAATTCTCAAGCTGGTCACAAAGCATTTAAAACTCCCAGTTGTCCAGGACCAAGGGAACAGGGATGAATTGAGAGTTGAGAATATGGCCCGTGGCAGAGGGGTGAGCTGGCTGCTCGGCCACGTGGGGAGGAGAAAGGGAGAGAGAGGACTATAAGCCAGGTGAGCAAGGAGGATGACGGTGCTTGGAGCCGGGATAAGAAGTCTTCCAGGAGGAACCATATTCAGGAGATGAGGGTTCTGGCTGTGCAAGCAGAGGAGGCTGGCTCCAGGTGGTGACATCTGTGGACACTGGTGGAGGGCTGGATGGAGGTGGAAAGAATGGGCTATCTGAATGGAAGACATCAGAAGTCATTCTCCTGGCTGCAGAGGGGGCAGCCATGGCAGTGTGCAGATCTTATACAAATGAACTTCATCCAGCAGCTTGACTTCATGCCCTCAGTGTGCCCCAAGGTAGCACCGCATGGCTACAAGCAGGGGCTTTGGAGTAAGACATACCCCTGCATCAGCATCATCTCTACCACGCATCAGCTGTTTGTTCATTTACTCACTCATTCGTATTCACTCATATTTATAACCATCTACCTTGTGACAGGTTCTCTGTAGGTGCTCTAGACCTGAAGGCTTCCATCCAAAAGTCCATTCGTTCTGCCTCAGGCTAGTACACCTCAATGTCACCTGCAGGTTCTGTCTACACTGCCAGGACCCTCATCTCTTAAATACAGCCTCACCCAGAAGATTCAGTCCATTTCACGCAGCATTACTCTCTAAGCTTTGCCAAGATCCAGCTCTCTTGCTTAGGAACCTCAGTAAAATTCATATGTTGGAATTAACTGAATCAAAGTGAGTTCTGATCCTTTATACAGCTCCTGCAGAGCTAGATAACACAGTGCAATTAACTGAACTTATCTTAAAAAGGGAGCTGGTGTGTTATTTGAACTGGATTAAAAAGGCTTTGAGGGGCCGACCTCGTGGTGTAGCGGTTAAGTGCGTACGGTCCGCTGCTGGCGGCCTGGGTTCAGCTCCTGGGCATGCACCGACGCACTGCTTGTCAGGCCATGCTGTGGCGGCGTCCCATATAAAATGGAGGAGGATGGGCACAGATGTTAGCCCAGGGCCAGTCTTCCTCAGCAAAAAGAGGAGGATTGGCATGGATGTTAGCTCAGGACTGATCTTCCTCACAAAAAACAAAAACAAAAAACAAAACAAAACAAAAAGGCTTTGAAATGCCAGCAACTATGGAGTAAAAACTCGAGATCCATCGAACTTTGCCCTCAACGAATGAAAACTATGCCATGTGCCAAGAGTTACCCTGGCCATTATTTTAATATGTTAAAATGTCAGGTAAAACTATTAAGAAAATGATTGCAAGCATTTTAAAATTTCTTCTATATAAACAAACCAATTTGATGATGAGCTACTCCTGGCAGTTCTGTCAGTTAAGTTTCCAGCACAAGTGAATTGTTAAATTGAATAGTTAGTCACAAATCCAATTGTCCAAGGGCTTGTTAAATCTAAAACTGGAGTCGTGTATCACCCGCCACCTGGCTGCAGTGGGGAGGACAGGATGGTTTCCATGGGTATTCCAGCCACCGTACTCAAAGGCCTAGAGGATTTTCACCCAGGCCCCAGATACTTGGAGAAAAGTCTTTGCATTTGATACAACTTGCTTGAGAAGCTGTATGTCTTAGAAGGAAGGAGATGGCGCCATGAAATTCAGGTCTCCTAGCTTATCATTAGCACGCCTCTGCCAGTGGAGGAACTAGGAGAGAGAGCAAGTCCACACCCTTGATCCTGCGGAAGCTGGGAAGGCGCTTGTGAGGTCTCCTATTTGATAATCAGCTGAAGCTGCACAAACCAAATATAAAGAACATTCTTAGTTCTCTGGACCTTCTTCCTCCAAGACTCTTAGTAACAGAGAAAGACAGTTATTTACTCTCCTGAAGGCACAATACTCCAACCACTGAACATTTCCCCTCACCTACATATTCCAGCATCTTAAGCCAAAAGAAGTCCTTTTTGGCTAAATTATTTTTCCTCTAAAAGACTTTATTTCTAACTATTCCAAGGAGAATTTACAGGCAGGCTGTGCCAGCTCTTGTAGAAGGCTGTGCAACCTTTTTAAGAAATTGAGTAACTACACTATTTGCTGAGTACAGTATTTATTATCTATGTACATGGATAATGAAGCCATCTCTCAGCTTTTTAACTGGTGGCACAATATCCCCCCAGCAGTCTCTGTAGTTAGAAGACTGTTTCTTATGAGCTTTGCTTATGTATTCATACACTGGTACTTCTTTTAGATGATGCAAATAAAAATTTTATTTGTGCTGCATGGATAGACAGAATAAATTATACACAGCTGTGAGATATCAGAATGTATTTTATGGAGTGATCTTGTTGACAAACCATAAAAGCAGGTCTTGGATGATGCGTACATTCAAGCCTTAGAAACCCAGGGAAAAAAATATGACCTTACAAAACATACAGTTTGCATAGGTTTTGTTTTTCATAATATTTGGGTATCAACAAAACTCAGTTGCCTAAATAAAAAATGTGAATAGCTGATACTGGGGAGGAACTTCTGGATTTTTGCTGTTGGGTAACCTGATGCACTGCTTGCCATTTTGAGAAAATGGCCAGTTTGTTTCTGAAAGAGAAGGAAGGAAAAGTATTAGATATTTTGGTTTCTAACACAATCATTTTCTGTAACAATCAGCTCTGCTTTCCCCCGGGATGTGTGTGTGCCTACTTCGCTTGTCTCCTCATCTGAGTTTGTCATCTTCAGACCCGATTATGGCCGGTCAAGAGGGAAGTTATAGGCCAGTTCCTCAGGCAAGAATCTTTCAGCAATGGCTTTTAAGGTCTTAGAAAAGCCAGCAATGAAGACACCTCCCAAAAGTGACTCTAGATGCCCTCTTGTGAGAAACCCAGATCCTGGCTGCTGTGTATGTCCTGCCCCATCCCTGCTCTGGCCAAACCTCCATTGTCCAGCTTACTAAGGGAGGTCCAGACCACCCTGATGCCCACCTAAGGGCTCTGAGATAGTGAACAGTGAACATCTTGGAGCCACAAGTCCTGGCCCTAGTCTGAGTCCTCTTTGACTTATTGCCTCAGTCAAAGTCTGTTATCTGAGGTTCTGGCCTCTACAAAATGGGAAGACATTCTCTCCCCTCATCATTCTCATTGGGTTAAGGAAGCTCAAATAAGTCAATGCAGTCAAAGGGCTTTCAAAATCTTAATGCATGAAATCAGTCTGGGATATCAGAATCCAAGTTTCCAGATTCTAGGCAGTGTTTGTCTAACCAAACCACACTACTGGTGTGAAAATGACAACTATGTACTGATCATTAGAAAACACCAGGGGCTGGCCCGGTGGCACAGCGGTTAAGGTCAAGGGCTCTGCTTCCGCGGCCCGGGGTTCACCGGTTCACATCCTGGGCATGGACTTACGCACCGCTCATCAAGCCATGCTGAGGCAGCATCCCACATAGAAGAGCCAGAACAACGTATAACTAGAATATACAACTATGTACTGGGGCTTTGGGGAGAAAAAAGGAAAAAAAGAGGAAGATTGGGAACAGATGTTAGCTCAGGGCCAATCTTCCTCAAAAAAAAAAAAAAGCACCAACTGTGTGATATTAAAAAAAAAAAAAAAGAATAGGAAACACCAGGGTTTATCCACTCAAGCCACCCAATGGGCCATCAGGGAAGACAAACTCTGATGAGATTACTAGTCAGCGTAAAACTGAAACATTACCCCTGGAGCTCTGGCTTTAAAGCGAAATCATTATCAACACCTGCAGGAACTAAGAGGCAGGAATCAATCTGGGGCACCAAAAGCAAGATTAAGATAAATATTCCTTTGAAAATCTAGCTGGGGGGAAAAGAAGTTGAGGCGGCCATCATGAGCTGCAAGAGAAT